ACATTAAGACTTGACGGCTATATCTGCATGCCTAACATCTGTCCAGAATTTTCTCACAGTAAGAGAAAAATCCTGAATAAAACTCCATCTTCAAAGCAGCAGAGATACAAATATTTCTATTTATATTTCAACCATGTAGCACAGCGAGGTTATTAAGTGTTGCTCCAACACGCTTAGAACATCAAAAATATGCATGCTTCTAATGCGGTGGACGCAAACTCGCTTTGTGTCTGATCCTGCCGGCTCCGTTTTCATTTGGCATGCACGTGCATATCCATCCTCCCTCTCATCTCTCCGTGCACCAGATGGACGTAGAGGTTTGAACAGTTGGGACTCAACGTTGGGTAATTGTTATTGCGGAGCTGCAAGCAGAAGGATGTGTGCTGCTGATGAAGTGTTATGATGGCAAAAGCCGGTGCTCGTAGCAGAAGCTTGAAAACACGTTCTCATCTCCTGTATGACTCTCTTGCCCGGATCCAAGCTCGCAGTCCCTCATCAGCTCTCTATAACACTCACACTCGAGGACACGCACTTGGAATCTTTTTTATTTATTTTTACATTTTTTTGCATAATGTTCACGGAGGTGTATATCCAGGCCTCGCTTCCAGGGCGGTGGAGGAATAGATGAAATTTATTTTAAAAATTATTGGTAAAAAATGTTCTCGCAAGGGAGAGAGTGAATGAATTAAAACTGGAGGCTACAGAAGGGTTTTGGCACCATCCGTTTGTAAACCAAGCCTTGGGGTGGAAAGTGGCACCACTGCATCTTCGCTGCATAAAACCACCTGCTACTTTACAGAAAAGCTTTAGACTTTCCACCACCTCTAAACTCAACATATGTCACGATCAAGAGAATAAGAAAAAGGGAGTCTGAGCGCTTTACTTCTTCTTTTCTCCCCAGAGCCCTGGGAGTCGTAAACTATGTCCGGCTAAACACTTTCTGCTCTCTGGGCAAACGTTCGACGACTTGTGTGTGTGTGTGTGTGTGTGTGTGTGTTTTTGTTTCTCTCTCATCTCCCCGAGCCCTGACCTCTATTACTGCCAGCTGACCTGCCTTTTCCATCTTGCTCTCTTGCTCACTTTCACCCTCAAACACACACGCATTTGCACACACTGAGTGATGGCCTAGCAAAGCACCACAAAACACTGTGCATGTGTGTGTGTGTGTGTGTGTTCCATCAAGTGTATGCATGCTTCAGAGCACACTAACTTAATGTATTACCAGGACTTTACATTCTACATATCAAACTTCAAACCACATATTTGCTAACACAAGCAAATCGCCCTCCATTTCAAACTCGCAAAGCTAAAACCACCTGGAGAAGCCGTTCGCTGCAACGAATCTGATCTTTGCATATCAGTGTGTGTCTCTTTGTGGGTTTTCCACGTGTGTATGAAGCTGGCACTTCAGTGGCGGGTTTCTCATTGGTGAAACGTGAGCTTGCCTTTAGATTGCTGTTTAACAAGCCAGCAGACAGAGCATATTGGCTCTGGATGGACAGAAACTCCCGCTGGGAGAAAGTGAGAATACGAGCATGAGAGAGGGAGGAAAGATGGTGGGACAGGAGAGGGAAGAAAGGATAGGAGGTTGATAAGAAGCTTGTGTTGCAGCTGAAGTCGCACGGACCGTTTCTCTAAGCCTGGAGTTCAAGTCCTTGTAAAAAAAATAAATGCCACACCACTGGCATGAATGGTTTGCCAGTTGTACTCCATTCATTAAATCCTGTAACACAACCTCTTACTGACACATCTAATTCAATAATGGCTCTGTTGTCTATAAAGTGGTGGAGAAAGACATCAGCAGATACATTTACTGACAAATAAGATGAAAAAAGCAAAGCTGAGAAGGTTCAAATTCAATACAAAACTGCAGGAAAGTTCTTGAATTTTCAGCTGGTTTTTTGTACCTCCCCACTTCCCACATTTCAGATGTGCATCAGCAGTGAATGTATTCCACGAGGTTTCACAAGTAATACCATTTTTACTTTTTAGTTAAGCAACAGGATGCTTTTCTGTCTGGCCCAATCCTGAACTGCTTGGAAATGTAGTGCATAAAAAAATAGAGAGAAACGTAAATTTAGCATAACGGCACCCTATGCTTCTGGGATGTGATGAAGAATTTCTGCTCTGTGCCTGGTAGAAACACCTATTGACCATGAGGGCAGCTATTAGCTGCGTAGTATGTATATAGCGGACGATACATAACCCCTCTCCAGAAGCCCTGAATAGACCTTACCAGGAAGGCTCAGGAGTGTGATCCCCCTGTAGTTGGAACACATCCTGCCCCTTTTTAAATAAGGGGAGCACCACCATGGTCTGCCAGTCCAGTGGGACTGCCCCCGATGTGACGCGTGTGACCAAGCCTCAATATATGACAATTCGGGATGCTCCAGCGCATCGGGAGATGACGATCAGGGACAAACAGCTGACGCAGCGTCCCAGAGCGTCGGTATCGACGCCGGTGGTGAGACGGACATTAGAACTACTTGTAAACTACTTAACCTTCCCCTCACCCCAATCCTAACCTTAACCCCCAGAAACCCAAATTTAGAAAACAACTGCAAAATCTTTTTTTAACCTTTCACATGTTGTTCTAGGAGGCCAAGATAAACGGGCCTATTTACACATTTTAACAGTCAATAGTGTTACAGAACTGAACAATGGGACCTATTAGTAATGTAAATGTGGTTTTAAAAAGAAAAAAAAATGGGGAAGGTTTATTTTTGTATACTTAAATCTGATGTTGTAAAATTACAACTGTGGGTCTCTGGGGGTTAAGGTCACAGTTTATGGACCTTAAGGTTAGGATTGGGGTGAGAGGAAGGTTAAATAGTCGAATAATGTCCATGTGACTGCGCGCGTCAAACAGTGACGCCAGCGGAGCCACGTGAACCAGCGAGTCCCTGATCGTCATCTCCTGACGCGCTGGGGCGTCCCGAATTGTCATATATTGAGGCTTGGTCACACGCGTCATATTTTGACGCCTTGGGTATGAGATCGTGTTGATATTGCAGAGCCGTGTCAGCCAACACAGCCCCAAAACATCCAGAGCCTTAAGGATCTCCGGGCGGATCTCATCCACCCCTCGAGCCTTGCCACAGAGGAGCTTTTTAACCACCTCAATGACCTCGGCACCAGAGATTTGAGAGGCCAACCTAAAGTCCCCAGACTCTGCTTCCTCACTGGAAGAAGTGTCGGTGGGATTGAGGAGGTCTTTGAAGTATTCTGCCCAAGTATACCGCAACGTCCTGAGTAGAGGTCAGCAGCACACCGTCCCCACTATAAATAGGGTTGGGAGCGCACTGCTCTTTCAGTAACGAGCAATCGAACTAATTATCGTCTTCTTTTAACAAAACGATCGTTTCTGTTACTGATAAGGAAATGCGTGCGCGCGTTTCAGCGTTAAGCAGCGCGGTGTGTTGAAGCTGTCATCAGCTGATCAGGAGCTAAAGAGGGAGATGTTTTCATCAAAGCGCATCACGGCCAGTGAAGAACGAGGAAGACGTGATGAATAGTCTACGGGTGCAGGTGCGGGTCTGCAGCCGTGCCCTTCGTGACAGCGGGACGTCCCGAAGGTCCGCTCACCTGTTCACCGCTCAGACGTCACGATCTTCTACCTTCCTAGATCATCCAGCAGTAACCTGTTTCTGATCATGTCTTTAGTCCCGCTGTAACACTGATGCATCTGTCTCAGACGGCATGGAGCTGAGGTTTATTAGAACTACCTGTGTGTGTTTACCACCCAGCTTCATCTCTTCTGTGGTTGGGTCTGACCCACGTTAGTAAATGTAAGTCCTCCATCAGATTTGTGCCTCTTCTAGTGTTATTTTAAAGGATATTTATTTATTTATTTAACCGTTACTAGATTACCAGCAACAGAAATGCTACTAAAAACACACATTATGTGAAGCTGGAAAAATTAGAATACTGTGCAAAATTACATTTATTTCTGTAATTTAACTAGACTGAGAGACCATTTAAAGGCTCAGGAAACTTTACAGGTGTTTCTATTTGCAATTTTAAATTTTAGCTGATTGGGGTCTTGTTAAATATCACACAGTGACCTTTTAATAGTCTAGATTAGTGTAATGTTCCTGTTAGTAGTTCCTCCTGTTACGTGCTTATTTATTTAAATTATTCAGGTTTATAAAAAACATTTGGACATACATTTTATTATGTTCCTGTCATTAGTCATTTACATTTCACTATTGTAGTAATTCTTGCATGCTTTAATGAAAAAAGTAGCTAAGTAGTTATTTTTCTTGGTAATTAGTTACTTTTATAATCTTGTAACTCAGTTAGTAACTGAGTTACTTTTTTGACAAAGTAATCAGTAACTATAACTAATTACTTTTTTAAAGTAACGTTCCCAACACTGCTCATTCTACAGGACCAGGGCATTGCAGGAGAATGTATGAAGAAGAAATTTGTTATTTCTATACATGTTTTGGCCGTCAAACTTCCATAACGCCCCTTTAAAGTGCCTTTCAGGGAACTCAAGGTCAGTGTACAGAAATGATAAAGGTCACACAACACACATTTAAACATTTTTTGTGAAAAACATGTCTCTTCTCAAATGAACTTAATATGTAAAATAAACACTTTTTAAGACAAAAACAACTTTGAGGATGACTTTATAAATTTGTCCAATTGGTCAAATTTATTGTTGAAACCCTATAAATGTGACCAAATAGAATAAAGAAAGAAAAAGGTGAAAATGATGAGGCAGTAAAGAGTTGAAAATGCATTTTCCCCCATTCCCTCTCCTGGATTCCAATAAAGCCCTGCCTCATAAACTAGAGCTGTTTTTAATAGAGTCTTGTTCAATACATGCCCTGCCAAAGAAAAGAAACTGTCTTTATCACGCGCTCTGACTCGTAAGACTTTACCACCGAATGCACAGTCCCACAAAGAAACAACCTTGACTGTCTCTTTTACAGCTCTGACACAAGGGGCGTGAATTCAAACAGACACAATCTCCAGGAGTCATAAATACTCACATCCATGAACTCCACATTGGCTTTTGGACCAGTGGTCTCGTTGAGGATTTTTATGGCAACAGGGATTTTCACCGTCTCACCTTCTGGGACCCAGATGCCCTGAAAAAAAAAGTACCATAAATGCACAGCTTTAAGTTCTAATAAACACACGGCCATGACCCTGGTGCCTTTGATTAGTGGCGGTGTGGTTTAATGGCTGCTACCCTGCAGGTCTGATGCATCAAAACTGAGTTAGTGCTACTCATTTGGGCCATTCCCATCTGTACCGGGTCGGCCCGGTAGCGTAGGTTGTTTACATATCTGGGTGGCCTGGTATTTTTCTGGGCCAACCAAGGCTCATTCTCAGCCCTCTTCTCGAGGGGGTCTGCTTCAGGCTGACCAGAGCCAACACACCCACTGCTGACAGCAAATTCACACCTTCCATTAGAGCAAGCCTCTGATTGGTGGGTAGAATCAGCCCACATGGGCTTAAGACAAGGATGTGTGGAATCAACCGGGCCAGGCTGGGGCCGACTGGGGCTACCCGGCCCGGGCCGACCCGGTACAGATGGGAATGGCCCAATTGATGCTACGCTGTCACAGCATGTTTGGTTAGGAAAAAAAAAAAACAAGCTTGAATCATCTGATTTGGTCTTTAAGCTGCGATAATTAGTGATTAAACAAACTTGCTGCCTAAATGATGATTCTACTTATCAACAGTTGTTTGGTTCTTATGATACATTAACGTAAGAGCGCAGATCTCTGCACCAACCTTGTAGACGGTACCAAAAGCTCCCGAGCCAAGGATCTTGACCCTCTTCAGCTCCGTCTCTTTCAGGATACGAAGCTGAGCCTGGTTGGGCGCAGTTCCACTAGGAGTCAGGGGTTCAACCAGCTGAGAACACATGCACACACACACACACACACACACACACACGCACGCACGCACGCACGCACGCACGCACACACACACACACACACACACACACACACACATTTAAAACCATCAAACCTTCATCTATGTAGAGTTTCTGCAACCCAAACCAAAATGTGTTTAATTATTAGGTTGAATGTAAGAAATAAGCTAGTGGTACGTTTCCACTAAAATGGAAAAATGTTCTCAGAGAAAAACAAAACAAAACTACATTCATTTGGTGTTTTGTACAACTGTTCTTAAGTTAGTTAGGTTAGCTTGTATATAAGAGTAAAAGTTGTTTACAGTGCAATATTTTTGTGCATGCAAATTTGTTGCTATTAGATTTCTTAAAACACTTGTGTGCCCAAGTTTTCTTAGAATAAATGCAAACAAATTCTTCTTTATTAGACACATTTGACTAGTCTGGTAATCTACACAAACCATAGCAGTAGCAAAAGATTTAGCTCTGCAAGTTGGTGCTGCCACGCTTCATTGGAGCATCAGCAGGCCTACCATTGGCACAGACCATTTTGTTTGGCAAGCTAAGCACCGGGGCTGCGATCGAGAAAAACTACAAAGATGGCGTCTGCTTAAAAATGATTCTTGTTTCAAACAGCTTTGGCATCAACTTCAAACAATTTAGACTTCAGCTTTATTTGAGATATGATCAGGTAGAGGCACTTAAGTTGTTTATAATGAATAGTTACATATTAGCTTTCTCTACTTATTCAGACTGGCTCATTGACCAATTTCCATCACACTTCCCATTACTCTGATTGGTTTTATAGCTGTCCAATTGCTTCAGACAATATGAAAGACAACTGTAGATTGTAGAATATATATATATATATATATATATATATATATATATATATATATATATATATATATATTTGAAAATTCATTTTCTGATTTTGATAACCAAAAGATCCCATAAGAAGTTGACTGATATAAAAAAGGTGGATATCTTTTACTATTTATTTTTAATCAGTTTAATCAGACAGATGCTAGATATATATATTGCTTTCTCTCTATATATAAACATCTATCTACACACCTGTCTGCCTGTCTTTCAATCTAAAATGTACTACATGATGTAACGGCTTTTTGTCGAACCGTTAAAGAGTCAGTTATTTGTATTTGGAAACATCTTTTGGCTTTTAGACCCAAAAAAACCTTTTATACATGTTGAACCTGAAACATCAGAAGCCAGCTGTTATGCTCCACCACAAATACATTGCACATTTTTCAAAAACAGAACACACACCTTCATTACCACATCATTTAGGTGTGTGTGTGAGAGAAGTTTATTTATTTATTTATTTTGGTAGAACTGGAAGTCCGATTTCAGGCTGCTATCAGAGCCAACAAAGAGCAGCAGCTCACCAGCTGTGCACATACTAAACAATTCCAATCCGAGGGCTTGAGAGGCCTCCTCCGCGCTGCTTTCCTGCCAGTAACGGCTGACAGTGAACAGCATCACAGCAGCTGGCCCGGTCACCCGCCTCGCCGCTCAACAAAACCTCAGAAACATGAAGAGCGAAAGCTGGCACCTGCGAGAAAATCACCCCTCTCGGGCCACTTGATGCACAAATAGCACACACATGATCGGACACACGCAACAAGTCAATACCTCTGATCAATACACGTCTTAATGAGCGATCAGCCTATCGAGTCCCTCATTCGCTGTGGTTTATCAGCGGTATAATCACCCAGCTCGACCACGGCCATCAAACATTATAATGAGACCATATTTCAATCGGTCAGCTGTAGCAGCACTTACTCAATGTGATATAAAACCATCAGCAGAGTAGCGCTGGCAGTCGCAGTGCCAGGCGGGTCTGCAGAATGGATGACATCGCCTGCAGCATGGCAATGACACGTCGTTTAATGGCTACTGTTATGGCTGGGTCTGAAGGTGCGATGTAGGCCTGCTGAGGCGTCGCTGCTTCAGGGTGAGAGAACGGAGTAACAGAGGGGAAATGACCAACACAGAAGTAACAGGTAATGAGAACATGATCACTGTACAGATGTTTTAGCTTCATGTGAGAAACAGGGGAAAAAAAACAGATGTCTTTGGTTTTCAAGGGCTGTCTTAAATAGACAAATGTTTAAGTGTAAACAAACGTCGTCGTCTTCCTTCACTTATCCGGGTCCGGGTCGCGGGGGCAGCATCCCAACAAGGGAGCTCCAGACCGTACTCTCCCCAGCCACCTCCACCAGTTCCTCCGGCAGGAACCCAAGGCATTCCCGGACCAGATTGGAGATGTAACCTCTCCAACGTGTCCTGGGTCGACCCGGGGGCCTCCTGCCGGCAGGACATGCCCGAAACACCTCCCCAGAGAGGCGTCCAGGAGGCATCCTGACCAGATGCCCAAACTTCCTCAACTGACTCCTTTCAATCCGGAGGAGCAGCGGTTCTACTCCGAGTCCCTCCCAAATGTCCGAGCTCCTTACCCTATCTCTAAGGCTGAGCCCGGCCACCATACGGAGGAAACTCATTTCGGCCACTTGTATTCGCGATCTTGTTCTTTCGGTCATTACCCAAAGCTCATGACCATAGGTGAGGATTGGGACGTAGATCGACCGGTAAATCGAGAGCCTGACTTTCTGGCTCAGCTCCCTCTTCCCCACGACAGATCGGCTCAGTGTCCGCATCACTGCAGACGCCGAACCAATCCGCCTGTCGATCTCCCGATCCCTCCTACCCTCACAAGACCCCGAGATACTTAAACTCCTCCACTTGAGGTAGGACCTCTCTCCTGGCAAGCCACCCTTTCCCAGTCGGTAAACAAACAAAGATAAAAAAATGTAAATAATACCAAAAGGTAGATGGAATAAACAGGATATAAGCGTTAAAGATTTAGTTGTCAACCTATGTAGCCAATCACAATGTTAAATACCAAAGGCTCATGTGGTTATGGGAATAATGAATCTCGTTTATTCGGCTATGTCAAGGTTCAGTGGAATGTGACGTCTCTGGAGGGGAAGAAGCCCGAGTTGGTCCGAGGTTCCAGCTAGATGTAGTCGGACTCGACTTGACGCATAGCTTGGCTCTGGAACCAGTTTCCTTGAGAGGGGCTGGACACTCTGCCACTGGTGTTGTCCCCACTGAGAGGCGCCTAGAAGGGTTGGGCATACTAGTTTTTCCCTGTTTTGATGCCTGTATGCTGGGGTTTACCCTGGTGAACAAGAGGGTAAAGAAAGAAAGAAAACAATCTTTTTCATAGCGCCTCAAGATAAAAATCACAAGGCGCTTCACAAGAACAAAACAAAAGATTTTAAAAAGATTATAAAACATCATGAAAATGAAAGGAGTAACGTTCCCCTGTCTACGTGTGGGAGGACGGGTCCTGATCGTGGTTTGTGATTCTGAATCAAACTACAGAAACTATTATCCCACCCTTTTTGGAGTCCTTGGAGGTGATGGAGAGCGCTCCTTCTGGTGACTCCCTCGTTCTCCTGGGGGGCTTAAATGCTCACGTGGGCAATGACAGTGAGACCGGGAGAAGTGTGGTTGGGAGGAACGACCCGCTGATCTGAATGAGAGCTGTGTTTTGTTATTGGACCATACGTGCCCATAACGAACACCATGTTCAGGCATAAAGGTGTCCATATGTGCTCTTGGCACTAGGATACCTTAGGCCGATGATCAGCTTTGCTGCCGTTTCGCCTGAACTGTAGCTGCATGTCTTGCACACTTGGGTGAATAGAAGGGCGGAGCTGCTAACTGGAAGTGAGGTCGCATCATGGTGGGGGAGGATGTCGGTCAGACCTGGCGGACCTAACCAAATTGTGAAGGTCTGCTGGGAACATCTAACAGAGTCTTCTGTCAGAAGGAGCTTCAGTTCCCACCTCCGACCGAACTTCGGAGGCAACAGTTAGACGAGGGACACTGAGTCAGCATGGGCCATGCTCCGTGGCTCCAATAGGCAGGTGACTGGAGAGGAGGCCGCAGGGTCGTCGGTGCCTGTCATGGCAGCAACCCTCAAACCCTCTGGTGGACAGCAGTAGTTGAGGATGCTGTCAAGCTGAAGAAAGAGTCTTATTGGGACTCCAGAGGCAGCTGACAGGTACCGGCAGCCCATATAATGTTTGTTTGCACTTTTAATCTGGACAGAAAGGAGTGGGATCTAATAAACTTCTGATTCATTGTACTTCCTTTTCCAACACTGTATATTTATATGGATATGCACCATTGTGGATGTCTTGTTTTTGACTGCATATGTTCGAATAAACTAAACTAAACCTTAGGGGAGAGAGTCCAGAGTGGTCGAGCCTTTATCCATGGGGTCTGGATGGGCACAGCCCAAACCAGCTACATGGCATGGTATATACACAGATGTAGGACCAGTTCTTTGTGGAGTAGGAAACAGAATCTGAACTAGCTTTTTTTTTTACGTTTTTGAAAAGGATCCTTTTTTTTTACTGCTGTGAGATGGTCACTGTTAATTTGCAACATTCAAACAAGCAGAACTGCAATAAATCAAATTAAATCAAACGCTTATCTCGTGGGTAAAGTCCTGACGAAAATCTGCATTCCTTCAAACTTCTGAATGGGGTTTATGGGACTGTTTCTGTCACCAGACTCAATCTGTTTCTTGATTTGACAGCTTAGTGACACAAATGCATCTCATTGGAGAAGGAAAGGCCAAGAGAGACACTCTTCAAGTTGTACAGACTTGAGTCTAAAATGCAAAAAAGAAACGCCTTTGTTCTTTCAATTCATTAATTTCAAGCAATTGCATGCCTGATTTAACATATCCATAACTATTTAGAATCTGTGGTTTTGTATGGAAGCCAAATTTGCCAAATTCATATTTTATGATCTACTAAAAAAACAGGTCAGATCAGGGGCATCTCTAGGACTGAGAGATGGGGGGGGGGGGGGTGGCTTAGCCACAGGTGCTTGACGTTGAACATTTTTTTCAACTCTGCTAAGACTTAGTCAAGGGATTAATTATTTGAAGAACGTTTAA